TTCTTGTCCTCTTTCTTTTTTTTTTTTTTGAGACTTTATCACAAAAGTGGGGGCCAGGGTTTCACAATAGCTTGTCCGGTTGTATAAAGAGGAACAGGGATTGGGCTGTCTTTTCTCTTCATTTTGTCTTTTTTGAGACAGGGTTTCCTTGTAGCCCCAGCTATCCTGGAACTCACTATGTAGAACAGGCTGGCCTCGAACTCACAAAGATCCGCCTGCCTCTGCCTCCCAAGAGCTGGGACTACAGGCGTGCGCCACCATGCCCAGCCAATGGGGCTGTCTTTTAGGACCCCTGCCCCACTTCTACTGCTCATGTCCATCTTCTACCTAGGAGGGGAATCCCTGCTTCCTGACCCAGAGAGAAATGGAACTCCAAATACAACCACAACCGGATCCACGACCGAGCAAGGAAAGCCTCTAGCTGTTGATTCTGAATGACGTATTAAAGGATGAGTTGATAAATGGAAGAGGAAAGGAACGACACCCAAGTGCGTCAGACAGACTCCAACCCAATCAAGCAATACCCTTGGGACACATAAGGTCTACGCTGGGTGAAAAGAAAAGGGAAAGAGAAAGGAGGAAAACACTGCATCTCATTATTGTCATTAGTATGGCTTCAGAGGTCATGGACCCAATTCTGCTGCTATTCTCAACAAAATGAAGAGGCGAACCCTCCAGAACCTTCCAGAGAAGCCAAGCCTCCTTCACCCTCGCAAGCCGACCGACTTCCCAGGCTTTCGGCGTAGACGGAGAAGCGGCGCTTTACGCGTAACCGCGACGTGTGAACCCGAAGCCCCGCCCCTAGGAGGGGACGCTAATAGTTCCGAGATACCAGCAGGGCTCCACTCTAGCCGCCAAGCTGCCGGCTCTCTATTGCTCTCTGAAGCGGTCGAGGAGAGCTGGGAGCAGGGACAAAGGGTGGGCCTTCCGCTGTGGGGGGGGCGGGACTTACTGTACTGAGCTTCCGGTACAGGACGGGCCTTCCGGTACCGACAGGGGCGAGCAAGGTCTGGAGCAGGTAAGGCATTGAGGCTGTTGGGGGCCAGTTCTGCGGGTCGAGAACGGCGGTGGCCCTGGAGTCATACGGGTGTCTCGCCTTGTAGGGGTGCCAGGGTGAGAACGAGGCCTTTAGTGGCCCGCGTGGACGTTTCACATGTAGCCCATAAGCACAGCCTAGCAAGCCCAGTACCGTAGCTTGGGGTCGGAGATGAAGATTTTTTACTAGTTTAAAATGCAAAAAGTGGGAGTGGAGAGACGGCTCAGTGGTTAAGACCACTGGCCGCTCCTGCAGAGGACCCGGGTTCGATTCCCAGCACCCACATGGTGGCTGTCTAACTCCAGTTCCAGGCGATCCGACGCCCTCTTCTGGCCTCCCCTGGCATTGCATGACAGGGGTGCACTTACATATATGTAGGGAATACACCCATACACATAAAGTTAATTAAAAAAAAGTTAAATGCTTCAAAAAGACCCCCAAAATGCAAATGGTGATTCTTAAGAACATTTGACACCACTACAGCTTCCATCACGGAGGAGTGCTCAAACCAGACTACAGAAATTATGGGTTGTTCTTGCTGATCTGAATTAAGCTAATGTATATTCAGTGACATTCATGCTCTGTGACCCAGTAAAGCAATCAGATTTAAAAGTACTCTGATTAGGTTGCTTTTCAGTGACAGTGTGTGCATTCCTTTGACCCTGATGGTTATAATGGGCAGGCGCTGTGCCTTCAGGTTTGCACTGTCAACTTCGTGATTCTGGGAGATAGTATGATGGTCTTCATTTAATTGATATGAGAGAGCTAAGGTGAAGAATAAAGACTTAACACGAAAATGACATGGCCTTTTATTTAAAACAAAGACAGGATTCCAAGCAGCTTTTCCACCCCAAAGCTGTTGCTGTCTACTAACCCAATGAGTTGTTTGGTTTGGTTTGGTTTGAGACAGGGTCTCCCTGTACCCTTAGCTGACCTGGAACTTGCTATTTAGACAGACTGGCCTCCATCTCACAGAGATCCACTTGCCCTCTGCCTCCCAGTTGCTGGGATTTAAGGTGAGTACCACCACGCCCAGCTGAACCAGTGGGTTTTGTGGGACTGGAGAAAGCTTTACTCCCGGAAAAACTTAGGCACGCATGTTTCAGCATAAGGCTTTACAGATTCAAAAAGCAGGTGAATCCAGATTAATTAACACACTTTACCTTTAAGAAAGAAAAGGCAAACTTAATCCAAAGCAAATGACTGAAATAATAATCTTTTAAGTAAAAATAAATTAGATTTAGAAGCTGGGGAAATGGCTCAGTGGATAAAGTACTAGCTGATCCAGCATGAGGTCTTGAGTTTGACCTCTAGTACCCATGTTTAAAAAAAGTAAACAGGACTGGTGGCACTTGCTGAGGAGCCAAGACAGGAGGCCCCCTGGGCCACTGGTCAGCCAGCCAGTGAGCTCCAAGTTCAGTGACAAACCCTGTCTTAATAGGGTGGAGGGGCTGAAGAGATGGCTCAACAGTTAAGAGCACTGACTGCTCTTGCAGAGGACCCAGGTTCGATTCCCAGCACCCACTTGGCAGCTACGAACCATCCTTAACTCCAGTTCCAAGGGAATCCTAAGCCCTCTTCTGATCTCTGTGGCATTGCACAATATGGTTGCACTCACATCAGCCAATACACATAAAATAAAAATGATATTTTTTTAAAAAAGAAAAGAATAGGGTGGAGAGAGAGCTGGAGAGATGGCTCAGCAGTTAAGAGCACTTGCTGCTCTTCCAGAGGACCTGAGTTAGGTTCCCAGCACCCACGTGAGGTAGCTCAGAACCACCTGTAACTCCAGTTCCAAGGGATCTGATTCCCTCTTCTGGCCTCCACAGTCCACACATAAATGTGCACACACACATAAATAAAAATAAATTTAAAAAATAAGATGGAGAGCAGTTAGGGAAGACACCTAACGTTGACGTCAGGCTTTCACATGCATGATCATACATGAACATGTGCACACATTTCACTAAGTCACTAAATAAATTGATGTACCAGAAAAACTTGCCCTTTTACCAAAAAAAAAAAAAAAAAAAGCCATGAACATTTTCTTCACATGTGGGCTTAATATGTTCTGCTTGGCATATTTAAGTAATTGTTTTTGCTTCACATATTCAAATCCAAGTATTTTCTCCACAACACTGTAATTTTCTTCCATTCACATTTAAAGCAAAATGACATTTCAAAGGAGTAACCCCTAGAGTGGTTTGATGTCAGAAATCTAATTGATATGTAAATTCTTTGACTTTTAATGTCATTAGCATGTTATATTCTTTTTTCTTTGAGCTATCTGGCTGGCCCTAAATTTCTTTTTTACTTAAAACATGCTCTCTCTGTCTCTCGCTCGCTCGCTCGTTCTTGCTCTCTCTCACACACATACACACAGGGAGTTTATCAATCTTAGGACCAAAAGTTAATAAGAAAGCAATACTTTTTAGCCTTTTGTTGTTGCTGCTGCTGTTTTAAGTTTGCCAGGTGAGTGAGGTGGCTCAGTGGGTAAAGGCAGTTTCTGCCATAGCATGTGTGGGCTCACACACATACATAGACCCACAAAATTAATAAATAAATGTGGTGGGGTTTTTTAACTTTAAAAACAACAACCTTTTTTTAAAAAAGGAAAAAAAAATTTACCATGTTCCTCTGTCATTCTTCATCCCAGTATGTGTCTGTGCTCTGCGGAAGGAGCAGTGGTGTTGGAAATAAGCACTTTCCGTTTCCCTTAGCAAGTGGTTCTTTACTTCTAGTCAAGGACTGTGATGTGAAAAGGTTTATTTGTCATAAAAATTTCAGGACTTGGATTGTTTTCCTTTTTGAAACAGGGTCTCCCTGTAGCCCCAGCTGGCCTGGAACTCACTATGTAGACCAGGCTGGCCTTGAACTCACAGAGATCCACCTGCCTCTGCCTCCCGAGTGCTGGGATTAAAGGCTAGGACTTGGATTTTTAATGTGATCTTTTTATTATATAATCCCAGTTCCCTGCTATATTGCACAGTGGGCACACAGATACCCTAGCATTCTATAATGATTTCAGCTGCTTTTACTGAGTCCCTCACCTTCCTACCTGTCAGGTTACCAAGGTGCTCATCCCTCCTCTGAATGTTGTCATGCTTTGTAAATGAGGATGTCACTCCAGGGAGATACAGGTATTATTGCAGTCAAAATGTCTCTCTCGCTCTCTCTCTCTCCCTCTCTCAAATGAGGACAAGAAATCAACAGGTGTATCTGTGTGGAACACCAAAGGTTTCAAAGACGTTTGGGTTGCATTTCTTCTGTTTTGTTTTTAGTTACCATTTACTGAGTTCTGCTGTCTCAAAATATTCCTTCAAGCTTTCTTTTCAAAGGATGTCAAATTTAGACAGAATAAGTTCAGAATAAACCAGATAATTAAAGATAGCCAGTCTTCAAAGCTAGGTCTCATTATGTGGCCTCTATTTAAAAACAAAGTGATTTAGAATTCAAGGTGTATTTTTCTAAAACACTGTAGTAAAATGATAGTTCTCAGCCTGCTTAAAAGTTATGGGTATATTCTATGTAGAAATTCTGTGCAATTACAGTAGAAATTTATTCTGATGACATAATAGTAATTAAGCAAAAAAAGGCAAAATTAATAGAGAAACCACTTATTATTTCTTAAAAACTGGTGTTTGGTAAAAGATTAAAGATGAAAAAAAGCAAAGGCATATAAAGAAACTTGCTGCTTTTATAGGTGACTTCTGGGCATTTGCAAGGCCTTGAAAGGTTTATGACCCTTGATTTGTTACTATTTTCTTTTTAAACATTAAACCATTCATGACCTTTTTTCCCCTAATAAAAATATAACCTTAGTTCTAACAGCACCAACCCAAACGCACCTGCATTCACATGATTGAACAAGAGTGACAGAGAATAGGTGATCTCCAGATTAAGGGTTAAGGAGACCTTGAATATAACAGTTCACTTACTGACCTTCAGGTGGCACTGTTGGCCCAGCATTGCTTGGTTGCTATTCAGAGTGGTAAATGGTTTGAGGTTAGCCTCTGTTCTGTTAATGAGTGTTGAAATAGGCATCAAGTTTGATTTCTTGCAAGCATTATTTTGAAATTTTATCAAGTGCCCCACACCTAATTTTTCTTTTAGCAGGTATGTGGGAACCTCTTTTCTCAGCAGGTGGCAGTTTTATTGGCATTCTTACTTCCTCCCACACTCATGGCAATTATAGTTTGTGTCCTTTTTTTATATTAATTTAATATAACTATACTTTCCAAGGGTAATGTATAAAAAGTTGAAGAGCTATTTTGGCATCTCCTACAGTTTTTTGGTATAGTTTTCTGTGTTTTGCTGGGGTTTTTTTTGTTTTTTATGCCTTTTTTTTTTTGGTCTTTTTAAGACAGGGTCTCCCTGTAGCCTCAGCTGACCTGAGACTATGTAGACCACGCTGGCCTTGAACTCACAGAAATCCACCTGCCTCTGCCTTCCAAGTGCTGGGACTAAAGGTGTGCGCCACCACGCCCAGCTTTTTTGCTTTTCTGGGGGGGATTTATGTCCTTTTTATGTTTAGAAATTATGGTTCAGCAATTAAGAGCACTTGCTGCTCTTGCAGAGGACCCACATGGCAGCTAACAGCCATCTGTAACTCCATTTCCAGGAAATTCAACACCCCCTTCTCACCTCGGAGAGCATTGCACGCATGTGGTATACCTACCTACATGCAGGCAGAACACTCATACACATTAAAAAGATGTTTTTTATTTGTCTTATTTATATGTTTGTATGAATGTATGCCTTGTCAGGGAGTGGCATGGAGGCCAGAAGAGAGCGTTGAGTTCCCTCAAGCAGGAGGCAAAGGCAGTTATGAGCTGCCCCACATGGGTGCCAAGAACTGAACTCATGTCCTCTGCAAGGGCAGGAAGCACTCTTAAGTGCTGAGTCATCTCCAGCCCCCAGAAACATTCTTGATTTTTACATATCCTTATGTGGTTTTTTATGTCTATCAGCTATAATTTTTGAATATCCTAGTTATCTTTCTTACACATATTTCAACATTCTGTACCTCTGAAGAAAAAGTTACTGCTGACCGCATATGCATTAAGACTGATAACTAACATCATAATTCCTAGGTGATTTTGTTCAGAAATAGCAAATCTTTTGAGCTGTTGAGGCCTATTTGAGCTGTTGAATTTTTATTTGTATAGGACTATCTGTTTTTCCCAAATGGTTCCCAGTTGCTAGGCTGAATTCAATCCGGTAACCTAGAGGCCAGATGACCTCATAACTCATTAGCAGCTCTCAGAGCCATCTGGTCCCCTTGAGGAGAACAGTGTTCAAAGGACTGATAATAAAGACAACAGCGTAATTATTTCCCTGCCGTGATTACACCTTTAGATGGCAAGCAGTCAGCATATTTATTTGCAGATTGCTTAGGTGGTTTTCTAAAGGTATAATAACAGTGCCATGGCAGAATAACTTGTTTCTCTGTCCTCTTCATCGAGCCTGCAAATAAGTAAACTGAATACCAGAAAACAACCTATTGAATCACAAATAGGTCATTGTAGGAAAGTTCAGCAAGGAAATAATTAAAGATTGCAGGTGTGAGGCGTGGAAAGGAAATAGCCATTTGAACTGGATTATTTGTCAACTCCAGGGCATATCCTACCAATAGTGAATACTGGTTTATGGGTAGCTTGCTATATTTTTATTTTCTAAAATTTTTCTAGATAAACTTAGAATTTCTTACACCTGTTTATCTCCTAATTTTCTGTAGGGAATCTTGCCTCTTCCTGCTCAAGAAATGTCTTCGCTTTCAGAATATGCACTGCGCATGTCTCGTCTGAGTGCCCGGCTCTTTGGTGAAGTGGCCAGGCCTACTGATTCTAAATCTATGAAAGTGGTAAACCTGTTCAGTGAGCAGCCCTTGGCCAAGAGGAAGGAAACTCATGACTGGTATCCAAATCACAACATGTATTTTGCACTCATGGGCACACTCCGTTTTCTTGGCCTCTACAGGTGATGAGAAAAAGACATAAAAGGGGCATTGTGAGAGATGGCTTTGGTAGATCAGCAAAGAAAAAAAAAAATACTTTCTCTATTCCTACAGTTTTGTGGTTCTTATGAGAGTCCAGGTAATTAAGAGGTACAATTTGTGGGGGAAAGGCGTCTTTAAAAATAGCCATAATAGGGACTAGAGAGATGGCAGCTAACAACCATCAGTAACTCCAGTTCCAGGAGATCTGATGCTCTCTTCTGACCTCTACAGGCACTGCATGCACGTGATGCCTTTATATATATATGCAGACAAAACACACATAAAAATAAGCATCAATCAAAAAAATGTTTAAATGGCCATACTGAATAAACAAACAATAAAAAATGTGCTTGTTGGAAGGTGTCTTTTTTTTTTTGGTCTTCTTTTGAGACAGGGTCTCCCTGTAGCCCCAGCTGGCCTGGAACTCACTATGTAGACCAGACTGGCCTTGAACTCACAGAGATCCGCCTGCCTCTGCCTCAAGGCTTGTGCCACGACACCCGGTAACATGTCTTAATATATCTAAAACATGACCAGCATTGAATTGTACTAAGCTATAGAGAGGTGTCTAATTATTCATTAATCTAAGAGTGCTCTAAAAAGGATGCAGGGAGGGGAAAAAAAAAAAAAAAAAAAAAAAAAACTGGTCCAAATGCTGAGGAGGAAAACCCTGGAGCACCTCGGGTACCAGGGCTGGTTCTTGGCTCCAGATGAAGAGGCCTGCCCCACACCTGATGGGCCTCCTCTGCTGGTGGCAGTGTGTCAGCATCTCTGCACCTCCCACCTGCCTCTGGCATTTTCATTTTGTGCCTTTTTGACATATTAATTTAGCCTTAATAAATTGTAACTCACTTTGGGGGAAGTTGTGAGTTTTGTTTTGATTTATTGTTTTGTTTGTTGTTTGCTTTGGGGTTTTTTTGAGACAGGAATGCACTACCCCGTGCCTGGCCCTGTAATTCACTTTTAAAGGCAATTTATAATTCACACAACTCTTAACACTGTGTATGTTTGGATAGGTCTAAGAAGTGAATGCTTAGGGCTGTATACCTCTGCAGAAAGAATAAAGTTAAAAATGAAAAACTTTTGAGCCAGGCGTGGTAGCAATGCCTTTAATGCCCTTGGGAGGCAGAGGCAAGAGGATCTTTGAGACTGAGGCCAGCCTGCTCTACATAGCGAGTGCCAGGCCAGCTGGGGCTACAGGGAGACCCTGTCTCAAAAAGACAAAAATAAATAAGATTTTATAAAAAATAAAAAAAGATCAAAGTGGTAAGCCGGATATGGTGGCACATGCCTTTAGTCCCAGCGCTAGGGAGGCAGAGGCAGGCAGATCTCTGTGAGTTCAAGGCCAACCTGGTCTACATAGCAAGTTCCACGTCAGCTGGGGCTACAGGGAGACCCTGTCTCAAAAAGACCAAAAAAAAGAAAAAGATCAAAGTGGTAATCTTTTTTTTTTCATTACCAAACTAATACATGCTCATTATGAAGAATTCAAACAGTTCATAATTATATAACATTGAAATATCTTTAAAATTTAACATGTTTTAATTGGCCTTAACTATTAATTTGGAGCTGTTCATTATAATATAAATTAATGGCACAGCATAATACCTATTCCCAAGAGCTGCAAGTTAGTACTATTAATTTATCCAATGTATTTCTTCAGTACCTTCCATGTGCGGGTACTTAAGATGGACATTAAAGGAACAGCAGGGAACAAAACAGTGGACTGTCTACGTTAATATATTATTAGAGATTATGATGTATGACCTATTTTGAATGTCTGGAATTGCTTGGGACAATCTCCTTTGCCATTTAGTCTGGGCTCAGATAATATAAACTAATTTTATTATGACCTATAATAAAATACCAGAAGCCAGATCTGGAAGGTTATAACCCATAACAAAAATCACATTCAACTATTTTAATATGTCTGTTTGCTGTTGTTCTTCAAATAAATGAAGAACAAAGCCGACTGTCTTTGGAGATGGGGGAAATGCTAAGCACTTAGTTTTCCATGGAAAAGCAAAATTATTTTTATGTATTTAGTCAGTAGTTATGGTAAATGATGCTTCTAATGATAGGCCATCTGTAGCATCAGGCAGGACAAACGTAGGCATCCCTTCCATAAAGAAAATCTGACTCAAAGGCCTGCAGAAGAGTGAGGGACACACAGCCTCCCGAAACACTGATTCTTCCAGTCAACTGGTGCCATGTTACATTATCAGCAGACAAGCCCCCTGCCTTTGTAGGATTCTCTGATTGTGGACAGGAAAAGGGAGGGAAGAGAGAATGGAAAAGTGATGTAATAAACGAATTGCGATATAGTATGTGACAAAGTTGAATGTGCTAGAGGGGAAAGCAGAACTGGCTGAGCAGGATCCAGAGTGCTGACAGGGCCTGTGGTGGGCGGGCAGAGGCTATGTTAACAGCCTTAAACAAGGCAGTCAGGGTCTGCCCCTGGAGGACAGGAGGTTTATACTTAGCCAGAGGCTCCTATGTAGTGTGCAAACCTGGGGAAAAGCTTGTAAGGCAGAGGCAAGAGTGGACAAAGGCTGCTCTTCCTGAGGCAGGAGTATGCCTGCCTGTAGTGACCAGGAGTGGTGCAGGCTAAGGAAACAGTTGGGGGACACAAGGCAGGTCACAAGAGTCTACAAGTGCCATGGTAAAGAACAGGGCTTTTACTCTGGGTGGAAGGGTTTGAACAGCTCATTGACATGATCTGACATATAGATGAATTACTTTGGCTGCTATGCTGAGAATTATTTGGCACTCACAGCTAATCCCAAAGAGGTCTGTGATATATTGTCCATCATGTTCATGAGCTGAAACACCAAGTTCTTTAAACCCAATCTTTTTAAAAATAGCCTTATTGGGCCCAGCAATGCCTTCTTTACATTTAATTCATAAACCATTGTTACTACATTACCCATGAGGAAAGGAAGGTGCAAAGAGAAAGGTAGATCCCTTATTCAAAGTCCCAGAGCCCGCACCTAGTGGAGCTGCAACTTGAACAGGTTCAGATGAGTTCCTCAGCATACACATTTAAGTAATTCCTCGCATAATTTTAAACATCTTAATGCAGCTGTAGCTGTTCAACTTCTACTCCATCTACATGTATACAAAGTTCTGGTTACTGTGAGTTTTATAATGCCTGTTCTTTGATCTGCTTTCCATCTGCTCGAGCTTTTCCCAATAGTCTTTTTATGTGGGGCATCCATTGTCATTAAGGTCACTCCAGGGACCTGCCCATCTTCAGTAGATGCTAATTCCTAAGGTAGCCAGGATCTCTGTGCAGGTACTAAAGATTAAAACTGCCTTTTACTCCTTTCAATACTGACTTTTAAATATTTATCAGTGATGGGTGTTTAGCCTTAATGTAGGGAAATTTGGGGTGGTATAAATCATAGTTACAGAGGCTGACTTCAGTTCTGGCAGTTAACTGCTGATTGTAACATTGTGTTTATGAGAAGACACTCACTTAAAAATTTTTAAACTTAACCAATCTTTTTTGGGGGGGTTGGTTTGGTTTGGTTTTTGTTTCAGGTTGGTTTTTTTTTTTTTTGGTTTTGGGTTTTCTGTTGTTGGGGTTTTTTGTTTTGCTTGTTTTGTTTTGTTTTGAGACAGGGTCTCCCTGTAGCCCAGATGGCCTGGAATTCATGTAGACCAGGCTGGCCTTGGAATCACAAGATCCACCTGCCTCTGCCTCCCAAGTGCTGGGATTAAAGGTGTGCACCATCACGCCTGGCCCTAAACTCAAGCAATCTATATGTTGGGGGCCCCTATACTTTCTTTTCATCAAGTTGAGCATGTGCCCTGAAAAGCCCAGGATCAACAACCTAAGAGGGCAGTGCTAGATTGGTGCTTTTCCAACTTGGTAAAAATAATGGTCATTTTTTTTTCCCTTCATCCAGAGATGAGCATCAAGATTTTAAGGAAGAGCAGAGGCGTCTAAAGAAGCTCCGTGGAAAGGGGAAACCAAAGAAAGGAGAAGGGAAAAGAGCTTCAAAAAGGAAATAGTGTCAGCTCACCAAGAAAGAAAATTTCCTCCTCAGTGACTAAGAGAAGAAAATGTATTTAATTTATTTCTCATTTTAGAGGAATGTGGCCTTCCTCAATGGACATCATCCTAGTATTCAAGTCCAATTCAGTTAAGTTGTGATTGGTTTCTTGAACATATTCCAGTTGTGCAAAAATATTTTGACCTTGGTTTTGTAATCTGAAGTCTACCTAATTCTTAATGAAATGAATAAACTATTGTTTAGTGACTTGTTTGGGTTGGAATGGAATGTCAGGAAGAGGGATAGGGGAACCTCACTAAATGAGTGTCCTGAGCTTTGTTCATTCCCCCGTTGCTTCCCCACCCATCTGGAATCTTTTTCATCTCTGGCCATTCAAGCTTACAAACATTATGGTCTCCTCCACCTATTCTTTTGAGGGCACATAAATGGGATCAGAAGCTTTCTGGGAAAAGGAGTATTGAATGCCTACTGGATACAAGTTACTAGAGCATTGGTAATGTGGCTAACAAGAATAACAGTCTCTTGCTCATGGAGCCTTAAGTCTTATGGAAAAGACAAATGGAATTACGACTAATTGTACTAAATGCTTCAAAGGGGAAAAAATATGTACTTTTTGAGAAGGTGGGTAGGTGGGTAGATGGATGGATAGAGATACTGCCGGAACCACATTAGAAAATTCAGAGGCCATCCAAAAGAAATATTTAAGCTAAAGCCTAAAAGATAAAAAAAGAAAAATCATGAGGAAAAGTATTTGAGGCAGAGAAACTGAAAAGCCTGCAGTAAGAGGAAATTATCAGTTAAAAAAAATGAAAACAGACCAGTGACTGACTCATGATTGACCATAAGGACATAAGGTCAGGCATGCTCTATGACAAAACTTTAGACAAGTTGGGCCTGGTGATACATGGCTGTAACCCCAGCTACTCAATAAGTAAGTTCAAGGCCAGCCTGGGTAACGTACCAAGACCCTGTCTCAAAACAGAAAAGGCAAGATTGTATATGCATGTTGTGACAGTGGTTTTTTTTAACCCACTTTACCTCTCGGTCAAAAGGCAAATACACAAGCAGGAGTAGACTGAGTAGCTAGTGTAGACACAATTTTCTTTCCCAGCAACATTGAATGAATCTTGGACTAGGCAGAACCCCAGTACATATGTTTAGATAAATGTTATTTTTAAACATGCATAATCCAGATGGTATGGCTAGGGCTTATAGCTTGTTTGGGGGAGGGGGTACTTAAAATTGTGTGATTTGTGTCTGATGGGACTGAACTGAACTCAAACAGAAGGCTCAGAACCCATTCATTTAAAGCTTTTTACTGAGCACCTGCCATATGTCTGGCTCATAATAGTTGTGAGGTGTTAGAATGAGTAGATTATGTGAATGAGTGTGTACAAGCTGCTGCTGTTACAAAGTACTGGCAAGATCTCATGCATTTGCTCTGAAAAAGTGCAGCTGAACCAGGTATGGATAGAGGCTGCGGTGGGAAATGGTCACAGCCTGAACCCAGCATAGCTGTGATTGGTCTCCAGTTTTTGAAGAATCCCTGAATATAAGAGGAACTTGGGAGAAATAGTATAATGTATCAGATGCCAACAGCAGAACTCAGTAAGAAAACAATCGGTGTATCAGTTCACTAATGGAAGAGCTTCAACTCGCAGCCCTCAGGCTTCAAGGAAACTTAGCAGTGGCTGATGGGGAAATTCACAAGTAGTCCCCCAGTAGATTAGTGTGCCAGTGCTACATGCTGAAAATTAGAAACAAGCTAGAATTTACTTGTACATAAGCCATACCCTCAAACCAACTGTTGGAGTAAATGTCATGTGACTCAAAACAGCCTCTGCTGAACTGCAGTGGGCCAGCTGGGAGGTGGGGTAAGAAGGAAGAGCTAACCAGATGCTCCAGAAGACCATGCATGTCAGGGTGCCAATGGCCACAGTTCAGATGAGGATAATACAGCCAGGAAAAAAAAAACAAACCTCAAGGTTTACACTAGCCAGATTGTTATAATTAGATTTCTGGATAAAACCTAAACTATTTGTGCTTTCTTTCTAATGTTTGGTGTTTAGTGTGCATGGAGGAATTTGCCCTGGATTTTCGTATGGCATAGTAAAAAGGCTGAGTTTGGGATTCAAAACATTGGAAAGGTTATGATGTTTGCTTACCATAATCCTGCAGTACCTTCTCTGAACCTCTGTAAAATCATCTTACTGGATTACCAAAGCATTAAGGTATTTGTGAAAAGAACTCTACAAACTATAAAGGGAGTTTTGTGTAACTAGCCAGAATTCCTGTTCTTCTGGCAGATTTCTCCAAAGCACTGTTGACAGATACCTCCTAGAAAGATACAGTTCTTAGATCTGGGAGTAAGGCTTAGTAGTAGGTGATTGCCTAGCCTACATGAAATCCTGGGTGTGATCTCCAGACCACAAAAGTTATTTGGTAAATAGAAGTCATAGTTCTCTGCATTGCATGTAGCATGAGAGGTGTGAGACAAGGAAGTAGGGAAGAGATGACTTAAATTATGTAATTGTGAATTATAAAAACTTGTTTTTTAGAAAACCGCATATGCACATGTATACATGTATTTATACTGCATCTTCTAAGACTAAAACAAGATCCATAATTCGACTTCCTCCACTCTCCCTCTTTCCTCACATATTTTTTGCCAAAGCTAAGTTGCATTAGAGATTCAGAGCTAGGAACACACTTCAGGAGCAATAGATAGCATAAACAACTTCCAATCTTCCAATCCTGTCTTCCTGGCCCTTTTATTTAAGTACTCAAAGTTCAGGGGTGGGTGTGGTAGTGCACATCTTTAATCCCAGCACTTAGGAGGCAGAGGCAGATGGATCTCTGTGAGTTCAAGGCCAGCCTGGTTTACATAGTGAGTTCCAGGCCAGCTGGGGCTACGGGGAAACCCTGTCTAAAAAGTTTGAACTAGGATCAGTTTTTAAAAAAAGAAAAAAAAAAGTGATGCAGGGGCTGGAGAGATGGCTCAGCAGTTAAGAAGACTGGTTGTTCTTGCAGAAGACCCAGGTTTGAATCCCAGCACCCACATGGCAGCTAACAACTGTCCATAACTCCAGTCCCAGGGGATCCAACAGCCTCTTCTGACCTCCAAGAGCATTGCACGACAGGGGTGCACTTACCTACATGCAGGCAATACATGCATACACATAAAAAATAAAAAAAAGTGATGCAGTCAGAACAGAAAGAAGAAAAGTAGATGATGAGATAATGGAACATTTATGCTGTACTTAAAACAGGTATGTTCGGGTGACATGGTGACATGTGGGCAGCAAAACAGTGAGGTCGTAAAACTGGGATGAAAGCTGGCCAAGGAACTACCTAGATAGAAATTAAGTTTCTTAGAGCTCTGGCAATAGTACAGGTTCAGATTAAAGTAGAAACTAGAGCCAAGTCATGGATTCAAAGACCTTTTCACTCTACTAGAGGAAACATTTTCCAGGAGAGGATGGATCTCTATGGGGAGCTTTCTGTATTCCTGGAATAGAAGAAATGCATTCCTAAGGTTGCCTCAATAACTGGTGCTCAGGGTGGAGTCTGGCTATCTACCTGTGTCTAACACGCTATCAAGAGATATTGAGGAATATTTGAGTCTGAGAAGTATTAGCTGACAGCAATATTCGGTTTTGTTTTTGAGACTGTCTTTGTAGCCTAGACTGGCCTCTATAGCTGGAAGCAATCCTCCTGCCTCAGCCTTGAGTGCTGGTATTACAAATATAAGTCATACACCCAAGTTCAGCAGTGTTTCTTAACCTTGACTGCATAGCAGAGCCACCTAAGGAGCTTTTTAAAAATATCAACACAAGACTAGGAGATGGGTCAGTGGAGAGTGCTTGTCTAGCATGTGTAAGGTCCTGGATTCAGTCCTTAGCTTTGCAAAGACACACACACACCAAGTGACAAGAGAAAAACCCACAAGGTGAAAGAAAGCCATTTTCTAAATGCCATTGCCTTTGGAATTCCTTTTTCCCTTTTCTGACACTAACTGATCTGGAATGGTATGAAAGGCATCTTTCAGCTTATTCCATGTAGTCAGAGTGGATAACCACAGCTCCAAACAAGCTCGTGTACAAAATGGGGAGAAATAATAAACTTATGGAGCTGTTGTAGAGATTAAGTAGCATAACTTGCAGAAACTGGAGTGCCTAGCAAATGGTAAATATAACTCTCAGACAAAGACCATCGCTATATATATCATCATAAAAAAGCACTAGGGCATGGGGCATAGCTTAGTAGTAGAGCACTTGCTTAGTATGCACAAGGCCCCGGCTTCCAGCCCCAGCACTGCAAAACTAACAAATGAACCAAATACACGCATACACACACACACACACACACAAAGAAAACCTGAGCTCTCCATATTCATTCACGTGATTCTGAGATTGGCAGCCCATGCTCCTTATAGCACTTACCAGTGTTAGGTTTTATGGTTACTTGTAGGTCTTGTGCATGCTATTTGTTTTAAACTGTTCTCTATGCTTGTGAAAAATGCCACATTTCTTGCAGAAGACTGGGTTCGAACCCCAGCATCCACATGGCAGCTAACAACTGTCCGCAACTCCAGTTACAGGAAATCCGATAGCCTCTTCTGTCCTCCAAGGGCATTACACAACATGGGTGCATTTACCTACATGCAGGCAATACATGCATACACATAAAATTAAAATAATAATTTTTTTTTAAGTTTAAAGCAATTTTTAGCCTGATGTGGTGGCACACGCCTTTAATCCCAGCACTTGGGAGGCAAAGGCAGGTGGATTGCTGTGAGTTCAAGGTCAGCCTGGTCTACATAGTGAGTTCCAGGCCAGCTGGGGCTACAGGGAGACCCTGTCTCAAAAAGACCAAAAAAAAAAAAAAAGAAAAGAAAAGAAAAGGAAAATGCCACATGGATCTGGTGATCAAAGGTACTAGCTTTGGAATCAGCAGTTAAATTAAACCTCAGTCTAGGTATTTGTAGCTGTGTGATGTTGGGCACAAGATCTAAGCCTCAGACTCTTTGTCTGTAAAAGGGGGTACTTCTCATGAGATGAGGGAAAGAGTTAATAAGGTAAGACCTACAGTGCACAATGCCCAGGATGTGATCAGTGCTACAAAAATGTTGACACACTTGCATTCATTGTTTTCACTACTTATGGACTCATTCCTATGATGCAAAGCAAATTTCGCTCCTATCTCTAACCCTTTATTTATTAAATATTTGTATTATCTTGTTTGTT